GTTACCAAATCCACTGGTAACTTTAACATCCTAATATTTAATACCATATAATGTAAACTAAATTTAAACAGATAAATTTTAAAGGGTTTTTACCCAGATATATAGTGGCTCATTAAATGCACACCTAGTAAGTATTAACCACATTTTGTATTAGCCTTGGTCAACATTTAAATTCACGTTCTTTTTAATTAAGTGGTTATATACTATTTAGGACACTGATGATGGAATATGCATTCCGAAAATGTTTTGTGATATAGCCTAATTGGGTTTTTAAATTATATAGCTTTTATAAAGGATTTTTAATAATTTTTTTTAATCTCTTTCTATTTGAGCAACCGAAGCTTCAGAGTTCTAATAGGACAAGTCCTGTCCGAACTCAAAATCCCGTAGGTTGCAGTTGCCACAGGAAGCAGTCCTGTCACCCCTGCTGTACTCAATACTTACCGCAGACGTTATCAGAACACCAGGAACATTATTAAGTCTTTATGCCTACGACACTGCAATAGTGGCCAAGCACCGAAATGTAAAATGAGAAAAACCGAAAGTTTTTCGACAGTGAAATGAGGGATCGAGAGTCGAGTATCAGATATAAAATCGTCATAATCTGCGAGCAAGCGCTGCTTTAAAAAAAATCAGCAAATGGAGAAACAATTAACTGTACAGAACAATCCCATTGAGTAGAAAAGCGAGGCAAAATACCCGAGAAACATTAGGAATAAGGGACTCACGTTAAAAAAGCACGAAGACGTCACAGTGCAAAAAGACAACGCGGTCAAAGCATTCATTAGGTGACTCAAAGGTAGAAAAATTAAATTCTGGATAAAAATCAAAATTAGATTAATAAACAGTATCATTCTTTCCATACTCACATACGCATCTCTGACATGGGGACACACCTATAATACTACAAAGAAGAGGATTCAAGCAGTTCACAACAGCTGAATAGCTGTTGTGTACTGTTCACAACAGCTGAATACCTGTTGTGAACTGTTCACAACAGCTGAATATTAGAAAAAAGCATCCTATGTAGTATATCTGGGGAATAAGAGTTCTCAATTAAAATATTATTTAAAAATTAAAGATCTTCTTGTAGATAATCTGGATGAGAACTTTATAACACGTTCTTTTAATCCTGTTGTAAGGTTTATTTTCATCTTGATTAAATGATATGAGTAATAGCTTATAAATTTATTACTACACATGGGTTTTCTGAACCATGTGGTTTTCAACATATTGTTAGAGAATTATCTAACTCTTCCTCAACTGTAAACTGTATGTTGATTATGATTGTTGAAAATGTTGACTGCTTCATGAAATTCGTGTTTAGGAAGTGCCAAAACTAAATCATCTACATATCCTTTAATAAAAGGAATAAAAAAGTGTAATTGTTGATACAATCACTGATAACATTATCCATGACATAGCTACTTAGAATGGGTGAGACTAGATCCCATACGACTACCAAAAATTTGTTTATAAACGACACCATTAAATATAAAACAAAGTATATATATATATATATATATATATATATATATATATATATATATATTAAAAACATAATAGATATAAGTGAAAAAGCATTTAATTTCCTGGAAGCTACCCTTACCCGGTATTGCGTATGACAGTGATATAGGGCATTTTTGTGGAAACTCCGGAGAAAAATTATCACCAGCGAAGTTCCAGTTTTCCTTCGAATAAAAAAGGCCGTAATAGATTTGTTGTTGTTAACGGTTCATTCTTTTTTCGGTTCAGTTGCAATTTTTGAACAGTTCAGATAGGAAAGATTTATTGAGCCAGCAGAAGTCACAAATATATTTATTTGTATTCATATTTGCGTGTGGATCAACTAAGGTGTAATTAATTTATTTTTGGAATACGTATAAAACCAAGAAGTTGATTATTTGAAAAGTTGTATTTTTTTTAAGTTGAGAATAAAAATAATAAGAAATAAACCGATTATGCATTACTTACTTCATTGTGTAATGATTTCAGAAAAATCGAAATCGAGAGTAATCGAAAAAAAAAATGGTAATTAGATTATAGTTCAGGCTGTAGGTGAATAAGTGCATAAAAAAGTGAATAAATGCAACATACACTTAAAAAGTAACTAAATATGCCTTTATTATATGCAATATGCATTTATATATGCACTTAAAAAAAAATATTTTTTTAATTTTTAGGGCTTGTGATTTGGTGAGAATTTGATGTCCTCGTTCTTGCTGTTACAGTGTATAATCATAAAATGTTCAATATTTTCAAGAGTAATGTTATACCTTCTATCAGTTAATATGTGTTTATATGAGGAAAACGATCTTTCAACATTACAGGATTTAATTGGCATAAATCTGAAATTTGACACTAGCGAGGGATCCATATTAATAACTTCGTTAAAGCTTCCATCGATTATGTCATTTATTGATCGCAATAAAGAAAAGCCTTCATTTCGGTTTAAAACTTTACTAAATTTATCTTTATTTTTTTTTCAAGTGTCCGTGAAAGGTTTACTATTATTTATTTGACAAAATTAACAATGCAAACACTATCATTTTAAGATAATTTTTGACTCTCTAGTTTGGTAATAAAGTTTATAATTACGTCCAAATTTGCTTTTATAGAGGACAGTTCATTCTGAACAGTATTCTCACTAAAAGTACTTTGACATCTCTGAACAGCAATACAACAAGAAGGATCAAAATTTGATTTGATCAACATTTTTGATATGAATATAATTATTTGCAAGAAATATGGCACTATTCAACCACGTCCCCCATCTAGTCAACACTGGTTCCGGTGACAAAGGGATACCGGGAAGCATCTTTCTATATACATCTGCTGGCAATGGTGCTTTTAAAAATACTTTCTTTACATTGTTGATTAAAGTATTTACATTTTGGAAACTCGAGTCTAACTTTTTCTGCCACCCTGTTTAAACCATGTGTTAAGCATGTACAATGAATCAAATTCGGAAAAAAATATTAAGACTAGTAACAGCTTTAACCTTGTAGGAAGCGGCATCGCTAACTAGTAGCAAAATTTTTTCAGAAGGTACTTGATTCAGTAAAAAGAAATTTGTCAAAACTCCATTAACAAATCGAGCAATTGTTGCATACTTGGTTTTTTCTTAACATTTTACGCTGAATAAATAGGACTTGTTGGAGTCTTTAGCTGAACTGTTTAAAACTCCAATAATTAAATTCGCGATTTGCCGACCCTTGGCGTCAGTATTCTTGTCGACATATCCACAGATATTCATCTCTTACGCGGCTTTTAATACCTTTAATAACGTCTTTGTAAGATGCACAATACAAGTCTTACAATACAATATGTTTTCAAAAAATTTTGTCACACCTTGCTATCCAATTTATACAGTGGGATATTGCAACTTACAAAAAAATTGCATACATTTTTGCAAACTTTCTTGCCCCGTCGATGATAGACGATTTTGGATAATGTTGTTCTGCAAAAGCTGCTGGCGTGATTTCTTGAAGTCCTTGGATAGTTTATATTGGTGCAGAGCCATTTTCAGGTGTTGTGAAATTTGGAATTTTTTTTCACATGGTATCTGTAATAAAACAGTTTAGTAAATAGGATTCTAATGCAATAATATGGACTTCAAATTTTTAAGATAAATACCGCCAATAGTAAAACTGTTACATGTTTATAGGTATACCAATTTTCTTGCAAAAATGAGATTTTAAATTAAATTTTTGAATCGTTTAAATATAAGGGGACTAGCCTTTTTATCACAAATAGTACAGAAAGCACTTTCATGGTCTATAATCTTCATTTTACTGTTGCCTCCAATCCAACTATGCAATAGACTTGATTTTTTTGCTACTTTCAACATATTTTCAAAAAAGAAATTATTTTTATTTTATAAGCACAATATTTACAATCACAAGTTGCTTTGCCATATGGTAAAGAGAATTTAAAAACGAATTTACTGTATAATACTATGATCAAGTGTGGTGACTATGTATCAAGTTTATTGATATAGGAGATCACTCCATGGTCCTGGATATGCTCAGAGAGTGCAGTCGTAATATGATATATGATCTGTCGTTTCTCTAAAATATCTTTACAATGTAAGGACTAAATCTAATCCCATTTTGATATGACATCAACAACAGGTGACTAAAAAAAGTACTATATCAATTTGTCGTTCCTTGATTTGTTCCATCTGTCTTTTAACAATTTGGTAACATGGTCATCTGATATTAAAGACTTCATCAGAGGCGGGTTTTTGGATTTTATTCTATTTTTTTTTCAATTGGAAATATTGTGGAGTATAGGTAAAGGGTAATTATAAATCAATATAGCCATTATGATTACCAACCTCTGTAGGGATATGGCACTCTAAGAAGATTAAATCAATATTCATCTTCGTAGCGAAACACTCATTAGTATGCCACTCATTATAGCGCAGATGTGACTATTCATAAAAGGACTTACAGACATTAGAGTTAACTTTATCTTTACTACTGTAAACGATCCAGTTGTCGTGGGCATAGTACTGTGAAATACAATGAGATACAGTTCTATCACACGTCCTTGTTGTACCTGTGTTTTCTTATTTCTATTTAATATAAAAACATAGTAATACTAATGTAAAAGTTACATCATCTTTTAGAGCGAGTTACAATTAGTTAAATCACCGGTAGAATTAAAATTTATAAAACTAAACCTCTCATGTATTTGCTATGACAGTGGATATCAGTTAGAAGAATGTAACATTTCAAACCCCCAATATAAATTTCTTTGTTTCAAATTTTACAGTCCCAGTTAATTATGTCAGCGAAAAAGATAAGTAACTGTCTTACACTTTGGTACTGAGGGGACTCACTCATCTATAAAAAACCAAAATTCCCCTCGCAATAAGAAAGATAACAGCGTCTTAGACATTTTATAGCACTATCAAACCACCGGATATTGTGACGCAATTTCGGTGTCCTACAAAATTTATAAAAGTATTAACATCTTTATCATATTTAGTATCATAATGATCGGTGTTATAACGTTTATGTTGGTTTTCGTACACATTAGTGAAAATGCGGTGTATGTTGGAAAGGTAAAATTATTAAATTTAAATAATAATGTTAATAATGTATATATTATCGGTCTAGTTTTTATAGCCCGTATCTGCCAAAAGAGGTTTTTTACAGTAGGAGGTTTTTTCTGTCTTTTTCAAGGAAATAAGAACCGGCTAATAAAAGTGTTTTTTTATTTATATAACTTTAATATTTTACAGGAGACACGGCATATTGCAATAAGAAAATACTAAATTTTTAGGTAATAATTATATATATACATATATATATATATATATATATATATATATATATATATATATATATATATATATATATATATATATATATATATATAAGGTTCCTTTTGATAATTAGTAACACAGCTGAGTTTCTGAAATTAAAGATTTATTAAAACATGTTCTATTTACATTATTTACACAAAATTTTACCTGAAATTAAAGAAACGACATTTAATGTCACTAACTATGGATGTTTTAATATTCCTATCCTAAGCACAAATAATCACTGACAAAGTGACAAGTTTTTTAAATATAAAGATGACAGAAGTGGTTGTGTCTAATATTCCAGATAATGTGCTCGGTAGAGCGCGGCAATATTTGAATGATGAAATTATAATTTCATTACATCCCCCCTTCCCAGAGGAGAAAATATTCATGCCTTCAAATGTTTAGTAGTCGTCTACGTCTTCTTCATCTTGTTCTTCATCTTCAGGTGTTGAGATTGGAGTCAGCTTGGATATGTGGAACAGATTAGACTCTGATTTTCTTCGGTTCAGGTTTATTCTGTAAATTGAATTTGACAATTTTTCCGTAATTTCATATGGTCCTACTTTCAGTTCGTCAAGTTTATTCCTGTTTAATTTGTTTCCATTTTCCACATATACCAAATCACCTATCTTGAAATCAAAATGTTTACGATTTTTGTCATAAATTTGTTTATTATAATTATGAGATTTGATCGTTCTGTCTAAAGCAATATTTCTATTACGAATCCAATCTTTCTCAGAAGTTAATATTTTTAGTTCATTTGGCAACATTGCAACATTTTTGCCATACATTAAGTATGATGGTGCGAAACCAGTGACAGTATGTTCTGTTTCATTGTATTTGCGCACACATTCTTGTGCTATTGTTGTCCAAGAAGTTTTTTGTTCTTTTTCGTTAATTTTGCATCTGATTTTATTAATTAGGGTCTAATTTAATCTTTCATTCAAGCCGTTAGAAAATGGTGAGTTTGTGGCAGTGAAGATTATTGGTATAAATTTTTCATCTAAAAATTTTTTAAAATTTTTAGAATTTATTCCTGGGTATTGGTCTGTTAGAATTATACCAATCTGATCTGTCTCTGATATGCTTTTCACAAGTTTAATAAAATCATTAGCAGTTTGAGTTTTCGATGTTAGGATATATGCATATCTTGTAAAGTGATCGACTAGAAGATGTAAATATTTTTTTGTAGATCGTGAACCCCCAAAACCTCCGATTGTGTCTATGAAAATAATTTCAAAAGGTTTTGTGGCTGGACCTAAATGTGACATTAATCCAAATTTTGCTAGTCCTCTTGATTTGTTTCTAATACATACTGCACAGCTTTGACATATTTCCTTTATATTTTTGGTTAAATTTTTAGCTGTATAGTATGGTCCTATCATCATATGCATTTGTTTTATTCCTATATGACACAAGTTTCTATGCACATCTTTTAAAAATTGTATAGTATAATCTTCGGTTAGAATGATTTTTTCTTTTCCTCTTACTTTTTTGTAATAAACATTATTTTTAGTTACTAGTTTATTATTATGTTTTATATCTTTATTTTTTTCTTGGTCTTTCAATATATCTTCAAGAGTTATCAAATTTGTAACTTTCAACTGCTCCTCCATATTTTCATCGGGTTCTAAGACAGGATTTCTGCTAAGGCAGTCAGCTTCTAAGTTATATTTTCCAGGGCAATATTTCACCACAAAATCATATTGCGATAAATAATATGTTAATCTAGTTCTACGTAGACTTTATATTCATATTCTCCAATGGCTTGTGGTCAGAAAAAACAGTAAATTTCTTACCTATTAAGTAATGTTGCCAATATTTAACACATTCTTTAAGTGCCAGGCACTCCAGGTATATAGCTTTTTTTCTCTTCTGTACTTCATTTAGTTTCTTAGAGAAATAGGCCACTGGTTTTTCTTCATTGTTTTCCTGTGGTTGTTTTAGCACCCCTGCTATTCCTAGTAAACTAGCATCAGTATATATGTGTATCAGTAAAGTTGGATCGAAAATAGTTAGTACAGGTTGAGTTAACAATACATTTTTTAAATCTTCAAATGTTTTTTGGCATTCCTTAGTCCAATTAAATGGTTGACCTTTTCTTAGAAGATTATGCAAAGGATCCAATTTTATTGCTATTTTTGGGACATATTTATGATAAAAATTTATCTTCCCTAGAAACTGTCTAACATTTTTCTGTGTTTTAGGTATTGGAAAGTTTTTTATTGAAATCAAGTTGTCTTTCAGTGGCTTTACACAATTATTTTTTATTACATGACCCAAGTATTTTACTGATTCAGCTGCAAACATGCATTTTACAAATTTTAATCTGAATCCTTCACTTTTGATTGCTTTAAATAGTTGTGCTAGATGTCTGATATGTTCCTGGAATGATTTTGAAAAAATGAGTATGTCATCTATGTAGCTCACTGTAAAATCTGCAAGTTTGTGTTTTCTTCTTATGTTACACATTATTCTTTGGAATATTGCTGGAGATGTTTTTAACCCAAATGGTAAACAAGTCCACTGAAAGTGTCCTTCTTGTGTAACAAATCCAGTTTTGTGCCTATCTGTAATGCGCATAGGGATTGACCAAAAAGCAGAGTTTATGTCCAATGTTGAGAAAAATTTGCAATTTCTTGTCTTTACCATTAAATCCTCTATAAGTGGAAAGGGTTGTGATTGGGGTACTACAATTTTATTCAAGTCTCTAAAAAATCAATGCACAATCTTGACTTTGTATTTTCATCTCTTTTATAAGCTAATGTAACTGGGGCTGCAAAAGGACTATACGATTCTTCTATTAGATTATTGTCTAGTAGCAACGCAATTTGTTTCTCAATCTCCTTTTTATCATCAACTGTGGTTCGATATGGCCTTTTGCTGCAATATTTCTCTTCCAATAAATCAATGTGTGCTTCATAATCCTTCACTGTCCCTACATCATATTTGTCTTTTGCAAAGACAGATTTGTTTTCACATATTAATTCATTTATTATTGATTGTTGATCACAATCTAAATGGTCTACATGAATTTTAAAATTTGTCTCTTCAAAGTGTTCATTGAAATTTATTAAATATTTATTTCTCATTTCATTTAAATTATTAATTTCATTTGTTTCCTTAGAATCAAAATTTATTTGTTGATTATTATCTTTTAATTTCACTAATGTAATGTCACAATTTTTTGAAACTGTTTTAATTTCTGTAGTAACATCATTTTGAATAGGCACTTTTTGACTTATTTGTAAATTTTCATTTTGACACAAATAGAATTTTTTTATACAATCTAAACCAATTAAAAAATCGTAATCAAAATTATCTTTTTCAATCACAAAGACTTCTGTCTCTTTTTCTATATCAAAAATTTTTACATGTAATTTTACCATACCACTGGTTTTTTTAATGCCATTAATAGTTTTTAAATTAGTATTGTTAGAATCAATTGAATTATTGTTATTTATTTTTAATAACTTTGAATTTATTAATGAAACATTTGAACCTGAGTCATATACTCCAAAAATCTCAATATTTTTATTCAACACTAATTTTATTTTTATTAATGGCAGTATTAACAGTTTTTTGGATAAGCATTTTGTAGTTCACATTCTAATTCTGAATTATTGATCAGTTTAATTTGATCATCTTTATTAGTTTGATTATCCTTTGGTTTAAACCAACAAGTTGATTCAAGGTGGTAGCGTGTTCCTTTTTTAAGTTTTTCACAGATGGTACATTTTTGCTTTTGCTCTCTGTCCAATCTTTGTTTGTTTCTAATTTGTTTTTCTTCAACATTTCTTTTATTATATAAGAAAACTTTTTCACATTCTTTATTTGCTAAGTGTTCATTCTTGTTCAATTCACTGAAAAGGTGAGTAGTTGAAGTCAGTGAATCTTTATCAAGTCTGTTCATGATGTTTTCTGGTAAACCTAACACAATCAGGTTTATAAGTGTGTTATTATCAATTAACTTATTAACTTCTAATAATAATCTTTCTTTTTTTGTGGCATATTCTAATAGAGAACCAACTTGATATTTGAATGTAAAAGCATATTTTATTTGGGACCAACCTTTTTTCTCATAAGTATCACAAAAGTTTGTTTTCCAAGTTTTCCAATCTGATTTCACTGTATATTTAATTAACATACTACCATACCAATCTAAACATTGTTTTTCAAGTAGATGTCTCAAACTTTCTATTTTATCTTCATCATTTAAAATTTCAAACCTTTCACATTCTTTGTCAAATTCTTCCATCCATTGTCTAACATTTGGCATTTTAATGGAGAATTTTTCAATTAAAAACTTTTCTGTTAGCTTCCCCACATTTTGAATATTTGGTAAATCTTCATAGCTAACAGCAGCTGATTGTAGTTTTTCTTCTAAATACTGATCACCAAATTGTAAATTTTCACCTTCATCCAAATAAATCTTCCTTATTTCATCATCTAGTGGGATCCATATATTTCGTTTTTGACCTCTTTTTTTCAATGAGTTTTTTACTTTTGTAAATGAACTGGATCTAGATATATGTATGTATGTTTATTTACCTGCTTAAATTCGTCTGGTATATCAAAAATACGACCATCTGGAGTCTCAATTGAGGCAATACAGATTTCATTTGATTTACCGTCTGATGATCCTAGTATTATGAATTGGAATCTCAATTTTTCCATGACCAAAAATGTCGTTTTATAAGGTTCCTTTTGATAATTAGTAACACAACTGAGTTTCTGAAATTAAAGATTTATTAAAACATGTTCTATTTACATTATTTACACAAAATTTTACCTGAAATTAAAGAAACGACATTTAATGTCACTAACTATGGATGTTTTAATATTCCTATCCTAAGCACAAATAATCACTGACAAAGTGACAAGTTTTTTAAATATAAAGATGACAGAAGTGGTTGTGTCTAATATTCCAGATAATGTGCTCGGTAGAGCGCGGCAATATTTGAATGACGAAATTATAATTTCATTACATATATATATATATATATATATATATATATATATATATATATATATATATATATATATATATATATATATGCCGGTTGCCATTGACTTTTTTATGTTTTGCTGCCACTCTAGTTTGAGTCTTCCTCGCTTTCTATTCCCTATTGGGGTCTAGTTCGGTATTTTTTCGGGCCATCTAGTATTTTGCATTCGCTCTACGTATAGATATTTCGTTTTATTTACGTTAACTGTCAAGCCTCATTCCTCATACTCTTCTATCAGCTTTCTAATCATATATTGCATGTCGTCTTTGTCATTGGCCACAATGACCTGATCATCTGCAAACTGAAGAGTAAACAGGTATCTGTCATCTATTTCTATACTCATTCCGTGTATTTTCCTTTTACAGTTCTTAATTGCCGCTGCTACATATATTTTGAGTAGTGTAGGAGAGATAGGACATCCCTGACGTAGTCCCTTATTCACTATGAAGGCATCTGTGAGTTTTTAACCTATCTTATTTCTTGATTGTGAATTTTCATACAATTCTTTAAGTGCAGCTATATAGTTGTGATTGATGTTCGTTTGTTCTAATACCTTCCACAGTCTCGATACTGGGACTGTATCATTATGCTTTTTGTAGGTCCACAAATGTAAGATGGTTTCCAGATGTCTAGCAGATCTCTTCTCTATGACTTGTTTTAGACAAAATACGTTGTCGGTACACGATCTACCTGCTCTAAAGCTGCTTTGATCTTCTTCTTCTTTTTCTTTATAGTCTTCTTCAATTAGATCTCGCAGTGTTCTACTGTATAGTCTGCTCAGTGTACTCGTGATTGATATGCCTCGATAATTGTTACAGTCCAGTTTATTTTCTTTTTTATGGATGGATGATATATAAGCTGTTTTCCAGTCTTCTGAAACAGGATGTCCATTTAGGCATTTATTGATAATTATTGTTAGATTTCTAAAGAGTTTTTCCGTTCCCCATCTTAACATTTCGGAGAAAATTCCTTCTGGTCCGCTAGCTTTACCTAACTTAAGGTTCAAAACTGTCTTTTTTACTGTTTCTTCGGATACCTCCACTTCTTCTTTATTTACTACAAAAATGTTTTGGAGATTCTATCATGTATTTCTGTCTAATTTTTTGTAGTAGACCTTTGTAGTGTTGTATCCACTGCTCCGGTTTGATTATCTGGATATTTGCTCTGTCCTTTGCTGGGTTTTTGACATTTGATAGAAATTTCCATACCTCCGAGCATTTCCTTCCTCCGATATAATTGTTAACTTCTTCACATTTCTTATCCCACGTCTCGTTCTTAGCTAAATTAATGCCCACTCTTAACTGTCTTTTTATTTGTTTATAATCTTCCAGATCTTCTAAATTTTTATGTTGCCAACCATTTTAAATATTTTTGTTTCTTTTCCTGAACTAGTAACTCGATCTCCTCGTTCCACCAGTATTTTTTATTGATCTCCTTTGCCTTTATTCCTACTGCTTCTCTGGTTTCATTTCTTAGACTTTCGACAATGTTCTTATGGATTTCATAAAAGGTGCATTCTTCCGCATTTGACAGTTTGCTGTCAAGGCACCTCTGATAAAGAAATACCGTGCTTATATCGTTAAAACTTTGAAAATTTTAAAGTCTTAAATACACAAAACAGAAGTCTTCTTCTTCTTCTTCTCGTGCCACTCCTAGCGGAGATTGGAAATCATCATGGCCACTGCGACTTTGTTAGCAGCGCGCCTAAAAAGTTCAATTGAACTACACCCGAACCATTCACATAGATTACGAAGCCACGAAATTTTTCTTCTTCCCACACTTCTTTTGCCCTTAATTTTGCCCTGCAACAGAAGTCTGGCAACGCTTAATTGTCTCAATAATTTTTTTAATACTAACTATTTTTAACTACATTAAAACGTAATAATTGATATATTACAACATTTTTTAACACAATGGTTACGTCATCAAGTGTTCAAAATGTTCTCCATGTGCGTTGACAGTACCCTAATCGATGGTAGAATGCGTCTACCATATTTTTCCATGATTGTCTAGAATTTAGTCGAGATTCATCGATTTTTCATTGCCTTAGTTCTGAAAGAGTTGCTGGTTTAGTTTTTTCAAGTATCCCCAATAAAAATAATCTTTAGGATTGAAATCAGGTGAACGTGGAGACCATTCAAGTCTACCTCGTTTACCGATCTATCGTCCTGGAAATATCTCTTCTAAATAACCCCGAGCATTTACCCCAAAATTAGCTGGAGGTCCATCTTGTCCATATCTCATTAAAATTGGCACCACACAAGTTTATCAGTGTAGGTACAATTTCATTTCTAAGTAACATTTCGTAACTATCTGAAGTTAAATTTCCTTCAATAAAAAATGGCCCAATTCACTGAGTACCTACTATACCTGACCATATATTTAATTTTTGAGGTCTTTGAGTTTGGTTTTTACGCATTCAGTGTCGATGTACGACACTGAATGCTGTTTTAGTACATTAAATTGTGTCGATTTACTCAATTTACACATAAAACATATTCTGTTTTTTTATCCTTTTCCATTTTATTCATCATTACCTCAGTAAACTCTAATCTACGATCGAAGTCATCTTTACTTTATTCTTGCAATAAGTTAATTTTGTATCGTTTAAAAACATTCTTATGTAATACACGTAAGACTAAAGAACGACCTACATCATGTACTTGTGCAACCCTGCGTGAGGATATTATGTGGATCGTCAACAAAACTTTGCATTATATCTAGTTTTGTTGTCATTCATAACACTTTTCGGTCTAACTGATCGGCATCTATCTAGTAAATTAGTAATCCGTAGTTCGTAATTCGTAAATTGTAAATTGCTTCTCACAATTTTGGTGTAAATGTTCGGTGGTATTTAGAAGAGGTATTTCCCGGAAGATGGATTGGTAGACGAGGTAGAATTTTATAGCTTGCACGTTCACCTGATTTCAATCCTAAAGATTATTTTTATTTGGGATACTTGAAAAATTCAGTTTACAAAACTAAACCAGGAAGTCCTGCAGAACTAAGGCAACGAAATATCGATGAATCTCAAATAATTTTTAGACAATCATGGAAAAATGTGGTAGACGCATTCTACCATCGATTAGGGTACTGTTAACTCACATGGAGCACATTTTGAACACTTAATAAAGTAACCAATATAATAAAAAAAGTTGTAATTTATCAATTGCTACATTTTAATGTAGTTAAAAATAGTTAATATTAAAAATTTTATTGAGACAATTAGGCGTTGTCAGACTTTATGTTTTATCTATTTAAGACCTTCCAGACTACATAAAATCATAATTATTACATATGGTTAAGCTCGTATTGAATAGGTGATTCCAATAACGACTGAATATACAGGGTGATGAATTTGAAAAACCAAATTTACTAATAATATAAGAGAAACGGCAAATCTGGCAACATTGCAAATATTAAATGTAAAATCTCTGTATCTTAAAATAGGTGTACCACTCTAGATAGGTGTACAAGAAAAGCAATACTTGGTTCCGCGACAAAACAAAGGTGGCCGATATATCAACGCAGATAGCAAAACCTAAGTGGAAGTTCGCTGAACATACCATAAGTAAAAAGACGACAGATGGAATAAGATGATTATACACTAGAAACAAACGAAAAAGAGGAAGGCCACAAATGAGATGGTCAGATGACTTAAAGAAACACGCAGGTCTGAAATGGATGTAAACTGTCTACAATAGAGAGACGTGAAAGAACAAAAATGAGGCTTATCTCCAAAATTGAACAGTAAGGTGTGTATAGATAGATAGGTAGATGTAAGATGTAAGCTTTGAAAACATTAAAACAGTACAACTAATGTTTTTTTGTAGGTTATGTTAACTTGACAAAGGTTATAACAGTTGAATTGTTGGTTAAATAACAGAGAAACTCACCTTTTACGTTACATGCATTGCCTTCCGCGCCTTCGTCCTCACATTCATTAATGTTTTTATTGATTATCTAATTAAAACACTGTTATAAAATGAGAAACCCGCAAATAACCTCTCAATAATAATCACAATGACAGTTAAGCTTTGCCAATGCTAGAGTGGCCCAAGTCACCTGGGTTACTATGATTTTTAAAATGGAGTATAAAATTACAATCCCAAAACAATACTAGTGTCGCCATCTGTGATTCTCGGAGAAAACTAATCTTGGGCCACTGTGGATTTGAAAATATTATTATTTCACATCGTTTTTTTTTTATGATTAAGTCTAAATATGAAAAAATGTTACTTGGGCTACTTAACTCTGATTCTGGTGGCCTTATTTATAGTATGAGTCTATTGATGTTTGAGATGTTTTCTCTTGATTGACTCTGTTATTTCAGAAGACGTGAAAATTTGTCTTTTTATACAGGTATATGCTTCTGTGTTGTTAATGTTAGATTGGGACAATAGTAGGCTTTGGGTTTGACTTTATGGATGTGTATGTGAAATTTTTTACGAAAGTTTAAAATCACGTTAAGTTTTAATTCTTGTTTTAGATACACGAATTGGACAATGATCTGAATAATCTAAAATTCACAAAATTACTGAATGTAAAGTTGGAAAATAAACCGGATCCATGGAAAACCGATATCAATAGTTTACTTCAACCAGATTACGAGGACAACAATATTGGTACAATTTTGAATATTTTGATATAGTTTAATTTTCATTAGGTGAAAATGTTACAAAAACTTGTTAATATAAAAAGGAAATGACAAACAGGTTAATTCCGATAGATCTTTTATAGCCCAGGCTGTGGGAACAAAATTACACTCTAATCCAGAAATTTATGTAATGTGGCTTAGGTTATACAAGGCAACCTCAGAAGCAATCCCCCAGTTCATTCAACAAAAAATGTTTATTTGTGAGCGTTTATAGGTGTAAAATACTAATTTATTGAGATTTATTCATTTTTTGCCTAAGATAAGTGTTGTAATGGGTAATTTATGTATACATTATGAAAGATTATCAAAGTACTCTAAAAGACCTTGAATTTGAGCTGGTATACGTTCAATTTAATTTATTTGTTATTACAAAAATGTCGAATGAAGGTCAAAATAAAAAACGTAATATTTATAATTGCAAAATTGCTTTTTTATTTATTTCAAATGTATGACATGCAAGCCTATAAAATTTTGAACTGAATGAGCCGTAGTAGGCCTAGATCACTTAATTTGTTACTGAGATACGTTAATTAGTTTCTCCCACGACCATCAACTTGAACTGAATGATCATAGGATTGCAAAAAAGAATGGTAGAGGGCTAATTTTTATTTCGTTCTCTTCCCAAAGCCGTAAATTGTCATAATCGATTAGAAAATAGTAAAAAAACATTTTTTAACCCGTTAAAAGCATTTATTTATGAAGTTGTATAATTGCAGTTATAAACATTTAGGCTGCAGCGCCCCCTATGTACCCTGCAAATTTCCAATTTGCAGATTATTGAAGCTGGCTGCGAGATGAAGATTTAAAAAAAAGAGTTTTCTAGGGTCAATGGGAGCCGAGTTAGCATATATTTTTTTAATCACAGAGGCTTTATTATTAACAATTAAGAAATGAATCTGGCGTCATTTACTACTTTAAAACCTATATTTTCAAGTATTTTTATTCTCCTTAAATTAAAATCATTATTTATTGTTAAAAATGACGAATAAAGTTTACCTTTTTTCAATGTAGCACCGAAACCGCATGTGGGAAACATTGCGAATGCTGTAAGCACGACCTAAAATGTACGAGAATGTGCGAAAATTTTAATGAAGAGATTTGGGAAAATAAGGCTCGTAAAAACAACTATGAGTAAAGTGATCTGCAGAGTGCAAATACAAGGCGATATGTCACAAGCGTTTGAAACATATGCAGGGTTACGGCAGGGAGACGCGCTGGCGTGCCTTCTCTTTAATATAGCGTTAGAAAAGACTATAAGAGATGCCGAGTTACACAATAGGAGAACAATCTTTAATAAATCAACGCAGATTATGGCTTACGCTGACGATCTGGATTTGATCGCACGTACTACACGAGGACTTAAAGAGATGACTTCCGCCTTCTTGACAGCCGCACAAAATATGGGCCTTAAAATAAACGAGGAAAAAACCAAAATATTAGCATCTATTCCAAATAACAAAGATAGAGCTAGAAACGCCGAACAAAACTTCAGTATAGACCAATATAATTTTGAGGTAGTAAATAAGTTTACATATTTGGGTTCTCTCATAACAAACGATAATGACACATCTGAAGAAGTTAAAACGGAGGGTACTGCTAGCAAACAAATGTTATTTTGGACTAAGCAAGCAGCTAAAAAACAGAAATTTAAGCCAGAAAACCAAACTAATAATATATCGAACACTCATCCTACCAGTGCTGACATATGGGTCAGAAACATGGACCATCTCCAAAACAGACGCAAATCTTCTGCTCGTCTTCGAAAGGAAGATACTAAGAAGAATAATGGGCGCATTCTGTGAGAATGGTATTTGGAGAAGGCGATATAATTTCGAATTGTACGAGAAGTATAAAAAAATAGTAAATGGTAGAGATGTAATATCCTTCATAAAAATAGGTAGCTTAGATGGGCTGGACATGTGTCAAGAGCAAATGAAAATTACCCACCCAGACGAACTCTACTATCGGTCCCAGTGGGAAATAGGAGTAGAGGCAGACCACGACTGAGATGGAGGGACGGTGTGGACGAGGACGCAAGGAAAATCGGCGCGGCAAATTGGCAACGGTTGGCGATGAACATAAACGACTGGCGAAATAGACTGGGGAAGGTCAAGGCTCAACTAGAGCTGTAGCACCACTGATGATGATGATGAGTTGGGAAAATTGTCATACTGCTGAATATGAACTAGATGATGCAGAAAAAGAATCTGATAGTGAGATAGATGTTTTGGATGAATTGTTATATGATTCTAAGGAAATTGTACAGCCTACCAAAAAAAGAAAAATTAATAAAAACTAAGCATATTTCTGATATTATAAATATTGAATCACATTTTAAAACCATATAAAATAAATAACAATTATTTTACTGTTTATATCTTTGTTTTACTAATTTATTCCTTCTATTAATGTAGTTTGCAATTTAAGATATTACGTATATACTTATGATGTTTATTTTAATTTATTAAACCAATTATTTAATTTATTTCTCATGAAATTGTACTAAAAATCTAGTTTGACTAAAAGTTTTTAAAATAATTCTTTTTTGAGATTTTCTAAAATAGAATCCACTAGGAAACTAAGTTCCTGTAGCTGGCTGTATACCATATATCACAAAATTTTTTATTTCAAATCCTTTATAAAAGGTATATAATAAAATGCCCAAACGGGCTATCACAATTACATTACAGAACGTTTTCGGATTGTTAATTCCATCATCAGTGTAAGGAAGTATACATGCTGTTAATTTATATTTTATAGTGCAAATATTGTTAATTTATAGTTGTGTTACATTATATATTATTATAAATTAGGATGTTCAAGATACCGTTGGAATTGGTAACATGGCGACGTATGACCCTACATAGGTTATATGGTCCTGAGACGAAGTGTCTTCGAGGACCTGTTGATAACAACTGATCAATCAATAAAAGTTTTTTGTACGCTGATTATCTGGTAGTTGTAGGAAGAAATTAAAACATATTATCTGTTCATAATCGTATTGCTGCAGCTTTAAGTCGATAGAATCGTGGTCTAAAAATATTGGATTCCAATTTTGCACCACAGAAACAAAAGTTATATATTTTTCACGAAAATAAAGGCCACAACATCTCCCAATCCTATTTTGATAAAATTCTCCTATAGAATATACAAAAAAATAAAATTCCTAGGTATGCAACTGGACTCAAAATTAAGCTGGACAAGTCATATACTCTCGCTAAGACTATCGTGTCAAGCTGGAATTAACGTTATAAAATCTGTATCACATAAAAATTGGGGAGCAGATTTTCCAACTCTAATAAATTTCTACAGAACTTTAATTTGAGTAAAACTGGACTACGGAGTAGTACTTGTGTACAACTCAGCAAACCAAACCTTGCTTAAAACTTTGGATACTTTTCAGAGTTCAGCCGTTAGAGTTGCTCTTGGAGCATATTGCACCAGTCCTGAGGACAGTCTACACTGTGAAGCTGGAGAGCCACCCTTAAACCTAAGATGAAAATAATTAACTCTATCGTATATCTTGACTATAAAAACTAACCCTCAAAATCCCGCTCTTCATCAAGCAAACAGCTATTTATTAGATTTTACATTTACAGATCAAACTTACAGCATATAAAAAAAATAACATGATCCCCAATTTTTTTAAAACCCACTTTTTTCATGTTTTCACATAATACAAACATTACCATCTTATATACACGCACGTCTTTAAGGCCGTTCCTTGCGTTTCTGGGCATACCTAAGTTCCAATGTAAAAGTTTATATCAAATAACGCAAAAACTATGGCAGATATTGAGATGATTCTTTTTTATATGAAAGGTCTTAAAAAGTTCTAGTGCACTATTTGGTTGTAAATTAATAAATTGTTTAAACAATTTTTTTTTTCAAATATTTTTGGTTAAAATAAACGTAAAAATTTTTTTTTTGAAATAGGGCACTACAGAATTTGACCCACTTTCTGAATCTGTTTTTTATTTTAACATAAAGTGTAACACAAAGCAGCTATTTGGTATAAACTTTTTTTAAAATCTCAAATTTTGCTAAATGTAACTTTCTCTCTCGGCCAGTACAGGCTGTCCTTGTTGATAGTTTCTGGATTCTCGCCGACACGGTTAGGTTGGTTAGGTAAGAAGTATAATACCGTCTCGAAGGTGGGTCATAAATAATGTTGAATAACATTATTAGGGTTTATTTCGGCTTTTGACAACCAGTGTGTTAATTGTTTTTAAAATGGTAGTTCACGAAGACGTTTGTTCCGATTGAGGAAATTTTATATAAATAAGCAGTACCTATAATAAGTACCTATAATCGCGGATAAGCTACATTAAGATAAACAGGAATAAAGCAGAGATGCGCTGTCCTGAGTTTTCACATACGGTTAGGAAACCATGTTGGGGTTCAATTACCCAGGACCTCCACATGAAGAGCACTTGGCTGATTGTTGTGCCTCTATAGCGAATCAGATTGCTATAGGGGGGAAAGGGATGGTCTAGAGCATTGGAGCACGGTGGGGTGATTCCTGTTTTTAAACACGAATTAAAACACCTTGCTCCAATGAATTGTTACACCCGATCGTACTACCTGGGTGAACATGTCTCATAGGCTGGGTTCAATCAAATTGCTTGAGTACCTATAATTTGATAAAATTTTTATATGAATAGAAATATTTTCTGTTGATTTGTAAAATTTTCCTTCTAAATGTTTATACTGTTTTTATAATAATACTATTGTTTCAGTATTTGCTTATATAATAATAATTTATTATGTAGAAACAGCGTAGAATTTTGGTTAATCAGCCAGTACATTTTTTTGTATTGCAATCAGAATTATTATTTTCTTTTCTTCTTTACATAAAAGCTTAGAGTAATACTCAAACATTTTGCAGTATTTGAATACGGAATTTGATTATTTATATTTATTGGACAATACCCAAATATTTTGCTGTATTTGAATATGGAATTTGAT